CACTTTTTTCTATTATGAGTAATGGTGTTATGAATATTTATATTAAAATATTTTGTGCAAAGATATGTTTCCAATCCTCTTACTAGAGGTAGAATTGCTAGACCATATGGAAACTATAAATTTAAGTTTTAAAGACACTGTCAGGCTGTTTCTTAAAGTGGCCATGATACTTTATGCTGTTGCCAGTAATTTAAGAAGGCTTTGATTTTCTTGGGACTTTCTCCGCAACTATAGAAGGCTTCTCAGCTAGTCTACATCCCAGAAGTACAGGGGTAAGAGGGTGGGAGGATGGATTGAATACTGATCCACAAGGAAATGTCAGTCAAAGGGGTACTGGAGGTTCATGGGTAAATACTGTTGCCTCTTATCTTTTTTTAGGACCATTCTGGGTCATGATCTACTCAGTCCCTTAGAAATGCCCAGGAAGTATAAGATGTAGTTGCTTACAGTTTCTTTAAGAAAACTTATTGGCTTTGCTCTTTTCCAACTTCTGTTTCCTGGGGATCACCTCAGAAATAAGCTACCTGCTCATGCAGCGTCATCCTAGTCTCTGCTTTCAGGAAAATCCAAGTTAATAAAACTTAGAAAAATGAAAAGTAGCTGAGTAAAGTCAACATTAACTGATTCAAGAGTTAGAAACAATTTGCCTTGAAGAATACCTTTTGTTATTTTTCTGCTATGGACCTAATATTTTAGATTTTTTCCTATGAAATAGTGTATTTATAAAGTAATAATCAATGTTATTTTTTGAGATTAAAGATTGCTTTCAAACCTGATGTTTCCTCTACCAATATAACAGCACTTTTGCCAAAAAGTAAGGCAGACTGAGTTTTAGCAGTAGTAGCCTACTTAACACTAGTGGCTAAATTAGCCTTGTTCCCTTCAAGTGATTAGTTCCCCACATGTGGTCATTATAATGTTGCCTATTAAACTGACACATATGTACAGGTGGACTGCAAAGCCTGGGAATTCCAGGCTAGCAAGTTCTTCACATGGAGAGCTTTGGGGGACCAGAAGGTAGGCTACTGCCCATCTGCAGGTCCTAATTTTCTGAATTTTTCAGAGCTGTGTGCAGCCTTGGCTCCATTTAGCCTTACGGTATCCTGGCTTGATTTACAGGCCATAAATCCTGCACGGGCCCCTTACCTGTGTCTAATGTCTGCAGTTGTTCTACTTAACCCAGACTTGGCAGCTCTGTGTGGCTGTCTTTCCACAAGTGTCGTCCTCTGATCTTGTATTCTGTTGCAACCGCTATCTTCTAAGCTGAGAAATAGTAGAATGGCTGAAACAGGCTAGATAGACAGTGATAGGGAGTTAAAAGTCCGGGATCCTAGTTCTAGGTCTGCCTTTTACTTATCTTGAGACATTGAACAAAACAGAACCCATCTAAGAATGATTTATTCACTGTTAATGTAGGGGTCAGTTTTGAATCTTCACAAAGCTTGAAAAGAAAAACTTCTCAAAAAAAAAAAAAAAAAAAAAAAAAGAAGCCAAGGAAATTCAATGCAGTGCTGTTCTGGAGGGTGAAAATTTTGAATTGGATTAAACCTTAACCTAAATAACCAAATACAGGAAACTAAATAACCAAATACTATAATTAGCAAAGTCTTCACAATCATTAAAATTTTTGATGGAGACTAAATATATTAAACAATCAAGTAAAAAAACAAATTACAAAATAGTATGTGCAAGTATAGGTAACTAGAGGCTGGAATGAGGGGAAGAATAAGAAGTTTTTAATGGATAGAGTTATTTGGTTGTGGTAATGAAAAAGTTCTAGAAATGGACAGTAGTGGTATCCACCCAATTTTGTGAATGCACTTAATGTCACAGAATGATACACTTAAGATGGTTAAAATAGTATAATTTATAAAAAATGGTAAATTTTACCACAGTAGTAAAGAAAGTAGTTGGAAGACTGCAGCAAGTTCTCAGTAAAGTAAAAGTACAGTACTCATGTTAATTCATAGTGGTTTCTTAGTTTATGACTGTCTCAATTATCATGGGCACTGTTACCGGGTTATTTACTGAAATTTTCAACACAAAATATGTTTAGTTTTTTAAAAACAAGATGTATGGGATGATGCATTCTATACATTCATGTATATTATATATTATTTTAACTATATCATATAAGCATATATTATATAAACATACATATATATACTACATGCATGTTGCTTTTTTATAGTTTTCTGTGATTAATATATATTAACCCTACAAAAAATGAAATACCATATAGACCACATGGAGCTTTCATTGTTTACAAAAAGTTTCTTACCTATCATAGTACAGCACATTCAACTGTCAACAAAGAAATATGTTTCAGGAGTACTGCTTGGCCCTTAAACCAATAGAATTAGTACATTTCTATAGTGGAAAGACTGCAGTGTTTTCATCATAGTAAATGGACTAGAGTGGAGCAAGAGTGGACATGGAGATCTTGGTTATGATGCTGTCAGAGTCACCCAGAGCATCAGGATATGGCTGACCATGATGGAGAAATAGCCTGTGGAGCTCACATTCCAAAAGCAGGCCTCTTGAAGCACTCAGTTATGACTGGGCATGGAGGGCAAGGGTGCGAACTATCTATGATGTATCCTGGTCTTGACCCTCACTCGTTAAGACAGGGAACAAGTAGGAGTTTGTTTGAAAACGGGGCAAAGTGACAAATTCTGCCTGACCCTACTGAGTTGGGTGCCTGTACATTTGGAAAACCAGGAAATAGGAAATTCAGAAAACATTAAGAGTCAGCAGCACATGGAGGGTAACTAAAGCTATGAGTGGACAAGATTTCCCAGGAAAAGTGTGTAAAGAAGACGGTTTTCATCCTTGCTGAGGATAAAGGGACAAGAGTCTGGTGAAGCCTATGAACTTTATTCCCATGAATATCTTTGAAGATATTTGTTCAGAGGATGCATAAAATCATAATGTAGTTGAAGATTAGGATAAAGAAAGAGTTCCTGAGCCAGGGATTTAACTCAGTGGTTCCAACGCCTGCCTCACAAACACAAGAAAACCAAGTTTGATCCCTGGTACAAAAAAAAAAAAAAAAAAAAAAAAAAAAAAAAAAAAAAAAAAAAAAAAAAAAAAAAAAAAAGAGTTCCTTCTCAGATGAGAGAGGCTTGACTACGTTTAGGCATATGAGTAGCCAGGAAGTGATTAGGGAAATAGAAGGAGGAGGAATGCTTTATGCAAAGACCAAGGCTATAGAGATTGACAAAGAGAAAGACTCCTTAACCAAAGCTTGGGTCTTAGGCAAAAGGATGGACAATCTTTTACATAAGAAACCAGGAGCAAAGATTAGAATATAGATGAGTAGATATGTTGCATAGCTATAAGTTAGAGACTTTCTTGTCAGAGGAAGAGTGAAGTCATCTAATGAGAGGGGGCAGAGGCCAGAGGTCTGTGAAATGGCCACTGTGGAAAATTAGGTAAAGGAGACATCATAGGATCTCTATGCTGCAAAAACTCCACTGAATATGGAGACCAGGCATTTATACTGTCATTTTCAAGGATTTTTTTTTTCTGCAGCAAATCTTGGGATCCTTGGTGTAAATAAGAAGGCCATTCCTTTCCTTGAGAGCTGTAGATTTACCATAAATTCCACATAAAGGAGAACAGGGAGAATAGGAAATTGAAGAATCTAATAAGAATTGATCATAGAAGGACGAATCAGTTGTTAAACTGTACAGATATAAAAAGAGACCATAAGGGAATGATGAAAAGAGAATGGAAATATCTGGGAATTAAAAGTACCAAGTCTGTAGTCAACAAGTGCTCAGAAGTTCATTTTTAACTGGATTTTATTTTAATTGTTAACAAACTCAAGTGTCTTAATGCAACTACACAATAGATTAGTCATGAATATTTAATCAGGGCACTAAAGATGAGGGAAGCCATTTGAAATCAAGTTACCTCAACCTAATAGCAAAAACAATTTATAATAATTCATTTGTCTTTCCGATACAACACAAGAATTGGCCTGCAAAATATTTTCTATTCTCAGACTTGAGGCTGATATTACTTGCACATGTAAAGGTTATGGACTGGGCATTAGAAAATTTACAAATACCCTTATATGTGTAATGGTATTATAATGATGTAGAGTAATATCCCTTGTTTTAGAAGATATCTGCTAAAGTGTATGGAGATGAACTGCAGCTTATCTACAACTGATTTTTGATGGTTTGGGGGAAATGTGTAACAAAGAAAATATGACAAAATGTTAATCGTTGCTCTGAGTCATGATTCTAAACAGGATAAGGGAGGTAATTTTCTTTCATAAGGGATATTCGGCAGTGTTTGAAGACCTTTCTGACCATCTCAAAGTGGGGAGGTGTGTGGATTTGAGTGTGGGTGCAGGTATGCATGTGCACTACTGGAATCCATTGAGTAGAAGCCAGGAATGCTACTAACCCGTCTATATTCCACAAGACTGCCCCCAACAAAAAATAATTACCTATCTCAAAATGCTGTAGGGCTTAGGCTGAGAATCTTTGACCTGAGCTGGAGATGTACTGATGATCATGGTGTTAGTGCTAAACTTTCAACTGTTCAAAATATTTTTAAAATGTTATAACAGAATTTGGATTGAGGCTTAAATATGAGAGGAGAAAAACACCAGTATTCCAGCTAGTCAACAATAAATTACTGTTAGTGCTGATCAAAAGTTTTGACTCTGACTGGGATACACTTGAAAACCCTAGGTGGATAGCTGAAAACTATACTTCATTTTCCTAGAGTCAGTAAATCAAGACAGCATGTTGTCATTATTCAGTACTTGAGTTTTGTGCAAAATATTTTCAGGAAGAGGAAAGGAAGCAAAAGTGAGGAAATTGGACATTTGTAGATCATTTGCTATGACCCAGGCAGTGTACTGAGCACTCTTTACACACAACCTTGACTGGTTTAGAATCAGCTGTTTTAGATTTAAGGTTTAGTATGTCACCTGGTAACCAATTTTATACATTCATTTAATCACTAATCTCTCCATTCAGCAAACCTTTGTTAAACACCTACTCCGTTCTGAACTATACAGATACAGAAAGAAATAAGACGTGATGCTCAGTCTCAGGAAGTCTGTGGCCTATAAAGGTGAGATGGAGAATTTAATGGTGAGCAACGTGCATGACCCTTTCTAGAGGAATGTGACAGATGATTCTCCTTGGGAGAGTGAAGGAGGGCAATCAACCTAGGGAAGAATTCTGAGACCTGCGGTAGGTAGTTAGGAGGAAATCAGTTCGAAGGAATGCTGGGATAAGGGTGGGGTCAGTGAGAGCTGAGGAGCATGGGGGTGAATGCAGGATCTGGAGCTTGAGATGGGGACGCAGGGCCTTCCGCACAGAAGGAGGAGCAGCGCTTGAAAGACCCGGAGGTAAGCAAAGGAACGCAATGTCTCAGTGCTCCTCTGCTTGAGCGTGCACCAGAGTACCCCAGCGGCTTCTTAAAGAATAGTGAGCACTCCCCAGATCTGATTCACTGGGTGAGATGTGATCCGAGAATATGCATTTCTAGCAACTTCCCAGGTGAGGCACACACTCCTAATCTAGGGACCATACTTTGGAAACTATTGCCCCAGGGAAAACACAGGTAGTTTGAGTAGGGTGGAAACTGAAGCCATAATCAAGAGTTAGACCAGCAATGAGCTAAGGAATCTAAAATAAATGATGGAACCACTAGGGAATTATTAAGGTGTTTAATCGCTTGAGCTCTTTACTCTTAGCCCATATTTCTTTAGTGTAACATGGGAGACTAATAACTATCAAACTGTATCTTAACATTCTTTTGAGAATAGAGCCAAGCAACATTATGCATACGAATTATAAAACGTTATATAAATGGAATTATTAACGTTAATACATTTGCTGCCAAAAAGGATTTCATATTTTAGATAACAAAACTGAGGTCGGGCAGGCATAGATGGTACCGGCTAATGCAACGTAGGCCTCACTCCTGCCCTCTCGTCTGTGTACCACTCTACTCCCTCTTTCCCTCCAGTCAAGAGGGAAGATTTTTCAGTATCATAAAAACCCTCCTCTGCCATTTGGCTTTCTCAGTCATACAGCCCGCTGAGTGAGGTAGTTGGTGAGGCTCATGGAACCCAAGAGTAGAACTTCAAGGGCTCATTCTTAGAAACCTCTTTGAAGGAAAGTAACAGTTTGGGGAATTGGTATCTTTTTAGTTTTCCTAATATGAATGGGAAGAAATCAAGCTGATCTTTTGCATATCTTTGCATATCACTTCAGTTTAGATTTGCTTTTATTTTCACGTTCTCATTTAATTCTCACAGACAGTGCTATTTTTTTCACTTGATAAATGAAAGGTTTAATGGTTTGCTCAGAATGATACAACCAACTAGTCTTTGGATTCTGAATCTTTTATTTTTAAATTAATTTTGTTGGTACATTTTAGCTATACAAGATAATGACATTCATCATTGGAAATTTGTATCTTTACATAATCCATCTTGGCTCTTATTTTTTTTCCCTATTGCCCTGCCCTCCCTATCTACAAAGACTTTGTTTCCATTTTTTCATTTTCTCATGTTAATTTCATTCCCTTATTTCCTTTCCCCTACCCATCTCACTTCCCCTTCCCCTTTGCCCCTTTTCTTCCTATTTCACCTTATCTATAAAAGAATCATAACCCAGCAATGTATGTGCACCCATGCACCCACAGCAGCACAGTTTGTAATAGCTAAAGCTTGGAAACAGCCCAACTGCCCATCAGCTGGAGACTGGATTTTAAAAAATGTCTTTTTAAAAAAATAAAATGGAGTACTACTCAGCCACAAAGAATGAGAAATTAGAGATGTTTATAGCTAAATGGATGCACATTGAGGCAATAATCTTAAGTGAAATAAATAGGACACACGTGTAAATACTGAATAATTTCTCTGGTGTGAGAAACTGAAAGTGTAAATAGAGACTAAAAAGTATAAGATAATGGATTCTGAATTTTATACACAGGAATCTACCAAAATATTTATGTGAAATAAATGTGACAACTCAACAACTATTTTCATTGAACATGGCAGGCGTATGTATAGTGTGTGTTTGTGCGGGTGTGCACACAAACACGCACACACATATAGACACTTTCTATGCTTTTATTTTACCATTTTTCTGACAATATTACTTGGTTATTTCACTTCTACTTTTATTGTTTGTTTTGATTTGTTTAGCTAACTACAATCTAGTCAGAGAAAGTCATTAGAAATTTAGTCATTAGAAAGTAGTTTTGGTTGAAATAATCCTTGAAATATTAGGATTTAAAGTAATGAGAATTTGTGATTTGAGAGAATGAAACAGAATCAGTAAAAAGAGTGATCATTTTGTCAGAATGTTTTTTTTTTAATTTCTTTTTGAAGCTTGGGGTTAAACTCAGAGCTTTACACATGTTAAGAGCATACTTTACCACTGAACTACACATCTAGCCCCATGGTTTCTTTTTTTAACTAAGAAAACACAGAGTCTGGTTCTCCTTGAAATGTTTGCTACAAATAATATACATAAGAGTTATTTAAAAGTAGCTAAGACTGCTAAAAAAAAAAAGTAAATATAGAGGCTTGATTGACTCCCTCTAGAGACTTAATAACACAGTTCAATAAACTATAAAGGCCTCAAGGTTGGGTAGGGGTCAGAGTTTAAATTCTAGAAGCCAGCAGGAGCAGCCACCACAGAGACTCATAACATTGACAGAGCACAGCAGGTGGGGGAGTAATAAGGAATTTTAAGTATTTTTCCTTCCCTTTCTGAATATCATGTCACATGCATAGATACCGTTGATGGTCATCCATTTCTTGTCATATAAAGATTGTACATGTAGATACTTACAAAATCCTGGGATTATCAGAAAATATGTATTTTTAAATTCAGAGTCTGTTTTGTTTTGTATTTTAATAATAACTGCCCTGCTTGAAACCATAAACTTTTGAGACTGGGACATAATTTGCATATCATCCAGGTGAAGACTGAGTTAGTTTGCCCATAGTTACCTAGACAGGTAGGACTCAAGTTTTCGGATTTTCTGCTTTGGTATTTTCAATATTATCTTGATCAAACAAAAGAGAGTCAAACAAGAATAAAAAGAAATACTCAATGGCATCAAGGAGATTTTATAATATGTTGCTATGTGAAGGAAGCATTTACCATATGTGTGAGATTCTGTTTGAGAAAAATAAAAAGCATATATATTAGGTACAAAAAAGCAAGAATTGCTTTTTCCTTCTTTGAGTTTTATGTGTTTTCCATGTTTTTAAAATGAGTACATATAACTTTGATAATCAGAAAGAAAGTAATGCTGCAAGCAGGGGTTTAAAAGTATCTTAAGAAGGTTCAACAGACTAATTTCAGGAATACAAAGACAAGAGTCCTTGGAATATTTTTCTCCATTTTCCCAAGGGGTGGAATGCAAGAGGATTCTATGGATGCAAGTGCACTACTGTATTTACCAGCACTGAGTTACAGGACGGTGAGAGCAGATGGATAAATTGACACCACACAGCCACAGCATGGGCTACAAAATAATCATCCGGTGAAAGTGGCTGCAAAGACCACTACCCCCTATGCTGGGTAAAATATATTCCCCTCTTTTTTCCAATTTGTCTGAAGTTTTAAATACTGAACCAAAAAACCCTGTGTTTTCTTCTTTATAGGTACTCAGACCTGGCACAGAGCAGGAAAAAGAAAGAAAAGTAGTAAGTGGATAGATGGATGGACGGATGGACGGACAGATGGATGAATGGATGGATGGATGGATGGATGGACCATCTTCATTTACAGAGAACCTTCTATTTCCTTATCAGGTCCCACATTACATACTGAACTATTATTTGGCATTGTTGCTAATTTTTATATTACCATGAACCCCAAAAGGAGGCACTGTCATTCCTATTTCAGAGTTGGCTGAGAGAGGTTGAGTTACCGACAAGAGCAAAATTATGGAATCCAGACCTGGTTGACTCCAAGGTCATGTCCCTTTTCATGTCACTGCCTCCTTCTCTATTCTCTGGGTAGCCTAAGCCTAGCTTACTGGGCCCAGTCAAGTGTCGCAGGGGAAAGGAGAACACTGGATTATGAGTCTGTGGTGGATGCATCCTCAAAATGAATCCCAGGCATAGACAGCTGTCGAAACGATCGCCAAATGGCCCCTGGCTGAATCACTCTCATCTTGCTCTTCACCAGCAAAACAGATATTCTTTGTTTGTCTTGTTTCATTTTTATTTGTAGACTCTATAATGTAAAGAAATAGAAAAATTACCTAATTAAATTAGATACGATGCAACTCAGAACAAAGTGTTTTGGAGGCAGGTTTACCTAGAAATAGGTAGAGGATGAACAGCAGGGCGAGTTTCTGAGATGTGAACTGAAATGGCAGGGCCTGACTGTCAAACTTTCTTTCCTTTTCATTCAGTGCCCTCTCTCACACGTGCCTGTCTTTCCTCTGTGAACTGACTGATGTCAGCCCCACAGAGGACCTCACACGACTTCCTCAGGGCTCTTTTAAGAGAACCAACCCTAATGTGGTTTCTGTCAACTTCTAGGCTCCTGTGTAAGTACACAACCCAACTTCGACGCCAGAAAGTTTGTGGTAGGGGTGGGGGCGTTGCAGTTGGAGGGGAGGGAGAAGCAAGTTGAAGGAGTTTCAAATGGGAGACTTTGGTGCAAGAAAGGACGCGTCATTCTCTATTCCTCCACTGTTAAAAGCAGCCCACACTGACCAAATAGTGCCCTCTGCCCTCTATGTGTGCCCTGCTCGCTGCTCTTGGCTTTGTGCTACAGTGAAGGATGTTATAACCATTCATTACCCTCTTTCTTGAAAGAAGATCTTTAAACTGTGGCTCACTAAACCACATCAGAAAAACTCTTCCCAGGTGACTCAGAAGTTATCTTCTTCTCTTGAACTCTTGCTTTTCCTCCTCACATGCTACTACAGTTTAAGCCAAGGGCCTCAGTGCATGCTTAGCAAACACTACCTTGAGCTATATTCCCAGCCCTTTTTCCTTTCAGGGGAAGCTGTATTTTCACTGGTAATTTTATTTCGTGAGTACTGGGAATTATGCAATTGATTTGCCTTTCTTTGTGTTTGCTGTAAGGAAGACCACAGCAAAATTTGGGTCACATTTCTAATACAATGTGCTGAGACTTATGGCATAATTTGGAACACAAGTCTTACCTATTTTCCACATGACTCCTTCCACCCCTTTTCTGTTCCATTAAGTCTCTTCATTTAACTGATTTTTTAAAAACTCTTGCATTGCTTTCATCTTTGCAAGCTATTTTATTCTGCAACAAGTAGGAACAACTCTGTTTTTCAAACCACATTTTTTCAGGTATGCCCACAAAGAAAAGCTCCCCTCCATTTTATTTGAGAATTACCTGGGCTATCACAGGATCAGGATACTCAACAAATATGCTTGCACTATGTGATCTCGCCCAGCCTGACTGCTAGCCTGGAATTGAGGTAGATGCTGGGTCCAAGCTGATTCTCTGGAATTTGAAATCAGAGCTAACAAAGGCCATGATCTGCTAGGCTGGGTAATTGGTGTAAATATCAAGGCATGAATTCTCAACTCTAGCCACAGAATTACTGGGACACTTAAAAATGATTCATTTCTCTTTAGAAGTGACTTAAAGATACATGTACTATATGTGACTCATTAATTCTGCTCCCAGACATATAGCTAAGCAGGTATACTGATTAGATTTATTTACTCTAAAAAGTGCATGATTGTAGAATATGAAACCTAACCCTTAAATTTTCCCACGTCTCATTGAAAATTGTTACCTAAGAAGCATGTGAAACCGAGGTACTCTCTATACGCTTAAGTACCAACCATCTCCATGTGTACAAAGAGAATTTTGGCATTTTTAATTGACACATATTAACAAATTACGGAGTTCAGTGATAATTCAATATAGTATATAATGATCAAATCAATTAACATTTCCAGGTCCTTGAATATTTCTCATTTCTTTGTTTTGAGAAACTTTGGATTCTTCTAGTTCTTTAAAAAAAATGTCATACACTATAGTCACCCTACCACGTTGTAGAACACTATAATGTATCCTCCCTCTGATTGTATATTTGTACCCATTATCTGACCTCCTCCTATCTCCCCTATCCTTCCTAGTCTCTTGTGACCACTATTCTACTCTCTACTTCTTTGCCATCAACTTTTACCTTCCACTTTTGAGTAAGAACATTTGCTACTTGACTTGTAACTAGGTTATTTCCCTTCACATAGCACCCTCCAGTTCCATGTACATTGCAAAAAAGGTAGTATTTCACTTTCTGTTATGGCTAAATAATATCTTATCATGTGTATGTGCCACATTTTCTTTATCCATTATCACTGATGGACACATACCAGTTGATTTTCACATCTTGATTGTTGTGCTACAATAAATATAAGGGTCCCAGCATCTCTGTTGCTATGCTGATTTCATGTCCTTTGGATATATACCCAATAGTGGAATTTCTGATCATATGGTAATTCTGTTCCTAGATTTTTGAAGAACCTCCATATTGTCTTCCATAATAATGTACTAATTTATATTCCCACCAACACTACATAAACATTTCCATTTCTCTTCATCTTTGACAACATTTGTTACTTTTTGTCTTTTTGATTGTAGCCATTCTGACTGGGGTGAGATGATATTTTTTCGTAGTTTTCATTTTGCATTTCCCTGATGACTAGGGATATTGAGCATTTCCACATACTTGTTGCCCATTTGTCTATGGAAAGATAAAATTTTAAGTGAGTCAAAGGAACTCTCACTCCATTGAACTTTATTTCTGATTGTTTTACTAAGTTTCATTGTTAAAATGGATTTATTTATTTAACATACATTTGTTGAACACATCCTATGTTTAAGGCCCTCTGGTGAGTGGTATGGGATGTGTGGGGGAGGGAAGAAGGGTAGAAGCCTTGTGAACCTACTTCTGGGGAAACAGGCAGTGAGGAATTCAGCAAAGGGAGCAGTGGTCACAGTCTCAGGATGTAAGAAAAGAAGGAGAGCACCAGAAGCTTGCTCCAAGCAGCCATAAAATGTTGTGCTTGTTTTACATACAGTTATCTGTTATTCCTTCCATTTGCAGAAATAATCAAGGGTTGGCTAAAGTGGCATTCAAATTGTGCCCATAATACAGCCAGCCCCTAGAACTACTCATTTGTATCTAGATAAAACCTATCAGATAGTCTCCCATTTGAATTCCTTGCTTAGCACCAATTTTCTCAGTTGGCCTTTCTTGCCCTTCTTTTCATTGTCTATCTGCCTTTGAAAATAACAAAGAAATGGAGTGGGAAATTGAAAATTACTCCTTTGGAAAAACCTGCCTCCCTAAATGTGAGTTTTCAATGCATTTAGAAATATTCTATAGAATTTTTGAATGCACCTTTTGAATATCCCCACAAGCCAATATAACTGAAATAGTTCCAGGTTGGAGAGAAAACAGTAACAGTAGTAAACAATTTTGATTGAGTATTTATATGCAGACCAGTATGCTAAGAGCTTAGATGTAATGTCTTACTTAATACTCAGAACAGCCTCTGAATAAGTCTGTCTTCTCTTTATTACAGAAGAGCGAACTGAGGCTTGGAGAGGTAATAAAATGTGCCCAAGGTCATACAGGTTATTAGTGGTAAAGGTTAGGAAGCCAAGTCTGTCCGCTAGTAGGTGAAAATTTTCTTTTTTATAGTTACTGACCATTAGCCCTTCAAATAGTGCCTGCCATTGGCAAATGCTTAATAGACATTTGTTGAATGTCTGAATAAATGAATTACTACCTGGTTTGAGAAATAAATCTTCTAGTAGGTGTACAGAGTCACATTACTGATGGAAAAAGCCCATGCATCATGGATTCTGGGCTCTTAACTCCACCAATCACAGAGATGTACTTTTTCAGAAACGAGGCCTGGCACAGAAATGGTATCTCAAGATCCAGAAGAGCTAGGCTCTAATATTATTTTTCTAGTTGTCACACAAGTGTGACCTTAATCGCATCATATGTTTGTATTATTCCATATGTGTAATACATAATGATTACATTCCTCATGGGGAGTTGGCACGTGTACCTGACACATCTTAATCTGTTTTCATCCCCTTCCCCTTCCTTCTGCCTTCCCTTCCTCCCTCTTAACCTCCCTTCCTCCACCTCTTGCTCCTTTCCCATTTGGGAAAGATCTTTATCCCTATTTCCTATCATCTAGCTTTTATTTTGCTCTTTAATGCCAATCATTGTTACAAGAAGAGGGTCCTCAAACGACCTCTGTGTTTTCTCCCGACTTTAATAGACATTCATGCACAAGAGTTTTACACTAGGCTTATCTTCTGGATATGCCACTGGAAGGACAAACTCCAAATGGTATCTACAGCTGTCAGAAGAAAATCCTTTTCATTCTGAATATGGCACCTCCTCCTTCATCTCCTCAAACCTCCTGCTGAATGCCACACTTTTTTTAAACTTTTTATTCTCTCCAACTTCTCATTTTAAAGGAAGATTTTACACATAAAAATAAGTTAGAAAAGTTAAAAAAAGTGGCACAAAAGTTGCTTGATAGATTTCACTACCCATTTTCCTCAAATGTTAACCTTTTTCCATGACACAGTGCAGGATCAAAATCAGAAAGCTCACACTGATAAAATATCATTGTATGGTTTACAATCTTCAAGTCATCTATTGTCTTAC